CTAACTAACAATTAAAATTACAGGTAAAAAGATTGGATAGATCAATACTTGAATAATAAAAATTAATTAAAATATGATAATAAAAAAGAATTAAAATACGATGGTATAAAGAAAATAAAAAAATTATTATATAATAATATTGAGAATATAATATTGTTGAGTCTTTCAAGAATAATTCACAAGAAAGAAATACACCAATAAGACAATGAGTTCAACTATATAAAAATTGATATTATTATCAATAAAAAATTTTGCATTAGGTTATGAGTCATATTTACTTACATGTTGCTCAATTTTTTTATTCTTACTCGATGTGAATGGACTCATATTTGAGGAGAAAATTATTAAGAAATACAAATGTGAAGTTATAGGTTATACTTATTTATATGTTGTTCAACTTTCTTATTCTTACTCATTCTTACTAAATGTGAATGAACTTACCCTTGAGGAAGAAATTGTTAGGAAGTACAAGTGTGAGATTAAGTCTCATATTAAATTAGAATAAGAAAGTTAAACAACATAAAAATGGTTAGGAAATACAAATATGAGTCTAAGTCTCATATTAAGTAAGAATAAGAGAGTTGAACAATATATAAGAAAATATGATCCATATTGAGATTTTGAGTTGAGATTAATGTTAATATCTTATATAGGTTATTTTTATTTTTAAATTAATAAATATATTTTTTTGAGATATAATAAGAAAAAAATTTGTTAGAAAATAAAAGAATCAGTGTCCTTTTAAACCGTATAAAAAACTAAATATAATATAACTATTATTTTATTAAAAATTATAAATGTGATTTAATATAACTTCATACAGTTGCAATTTTCCGCAAATAATTAATCGGGATTGTTTTAAATTACTATTACAATTTACACCTTGTAGCTAAGATAGAAAATATGTGAAGTGGAAGTCATTAGTTATCAGTCAACGCATGTTTCACTGTCTCGTGGATAAAGGAATATATTACAAATTGCATTTTCATACACTTTGTTCACCATAGTTACCATTCATACTTAATTTTGTTACATATACACCCTAATTCGTAGGGTGTGAAAAAAAAATATTTTTTTCCAATATATTAGTTCAAAAAGTTCGAAGGTTAGGTAAAAGAATATGGGTCATAAATTGAATTACACTAATTAGGAGATAAATTACGAGTTAAGACCATGTTACTTCATAAATTTATGGATAGATTTATTTTATAAAATAATAATTAATTTTTAAATAAAATAAAAAATAAAATTATTTATTATATATATTATAAATTATTTTGATACAAATATATATATATATATATATATATATATAAGATAAATCTTTAATAAATTATTATTATTATTATTTTAAATTAATAATTATTAAAAGATGAATGATGAAAATGAGAATACATTTTTAAATTTTATTTTAAGATATAATGAAACGTTCTTCTTATAATTCATATGTTTTAAACAAAATTAATTTTATCAATATAATTTAAATTTAAAAAACATATTTTTTATTTGTTATTTAAATATTTTGTAAATATTTTTTATTTATTTTTAATTAATCAAAATTAACTCATTAACATATTAATTTAATATACAATTAAATTAAATTAAAAACTATCATTTATTTTAAAATATAAATCATTCACCATTAACTTTTTTACTTTACTCATAAAAATATCAGACTCCAGTTGCCAAAATCATATTGTATGTTTAGTACGTACAAATATACCTCTCGTTTTTCTCCATATATATATATATATATATATATATATATATATTTTTTTTTTTTCTTCTTGAACCTAATTGTATATAGATTTTGTCCTATCTTATATTTTTTAAATACCTTTCACGTTATTTCAGACAAAATAAATAAATACATGATATATATTTTATTTTTATAATGGAAGAACAGAGATATTTTTCAATAAATTCTGCTCATATATTATCATTCATTATCATATTCACAACTTGACATCCACCAAATTTTTTGGGTGAGAGGGGACCGAGGATTTGGTTTTTATAAAAAAAACACTACACAAAGTCTTATATTCATGTTTCGTAATATAAAAATGTAGCTAACAAAAATATCTCAATAACACTTATCAGTGGGTTTTTTCAATTGAGTGAGATTGATCTGAAATTAGTATATATTTTATATCAAAATCGTAGTTACTTAAGAAAAAGAAAAAGAAAATCTGATATTTACATTTTTTCCAAATATTACTCAATGAAGGATTGACTTGGTTCAATTTGTAATTATTTGATGACTAATGTGGTTGGCTCAAACAAGTAGTTGATCTATATAAATGATCAAATTTAAAATTCTTTATGATAATGTGTTTAGAATTAGAACCAAAATAAAGGTTGTTTGTATTATTTAAAAAAAATGTGATAAAGTAAATATTTTTTTTCATTTTATTTACTCATTTTTAATTTAAACAAATTATATTTTTCTATTTCTTATTTTAAATTTAATGAATTCGAGAGCAGTTTAATCATTGGCATGTAGCCTTTTAAATTTCATACATCACGTACCAACGAGAGTGACCTAATTGGATAATCTTGGAGTTAGGTTGCATAGCTAGCTATATATCTGGTTAATGATAACTATGCTTCTATTTCAACCTTATCTCACTTTGTCCACAAAAATCTATCCACTCTTCATTCTTTTCATTTCCAAGTTTGTTATTTGTTGGTATGGTTATTTAATAGGAACTATTTAAAAATATTATTTGTGTATAAATAATTTATAATTCAAAATTAATAATTAAGACATATATTTCACATTAGAAAAAATATTAATAAATATAAAAAATTATAAAACAATTGAAATTGATTATGTATTTATTTTTTAATTTCTTTATAAGGACAACATAATCAGATGATATGAAATATCCCTAATATCTAATTCATTAAAAAAATATTTTATAATAAATAAGAATACAATAGATTTTAATTTAAAATGAATTAATATTAAAAAAATGATAAATAAATAAATACATACATACATTATATTTTAAAAAATAATTTTTTTAGCATATCATTTAATTATTAAACAATATCACTTATTATTTGTGAATTTGGGATGTTATGAACTTTGATTATTTACCTGATATCTTTTATAATAAATATTTCATCATGAAAATTTAAAATTTTTTGGAGTGAGTGAATTTTTGTTGTTTTGAATTTTATTTATTATTTGCATATAAGATGTTTTATTATGGCAATATAATAATTTAGTAAAAATAGGGTAATATGATTTAAAATCTAGATTACGAATGAATCAAACAATGTTAATTAAATAAATTTGTAATATTCAAAAAATATACAAAGGCAACTGATTTAATTAATGGCTTATTTGTTTGGCTTTTTAGTCCATTAATTAAGCCTATAGTTTAACTATCATAATTGAGTCAGTTACATTAACAGCAAGTTTCGTATAGCTTTTAATAAATTTTTATTTGTTAATTTATTAACCGATGCTTGCTTATTTGTTAATAATGCATAATTTTTTTTCTCCATTTTTGATATTTTGGGGGGTTTTGAACGTGCCAAAATCTGTCAACATAACATTGATTGAATTTGGTGTGGAATTAAATAATTTGTCTCAAAACTTCATCGCAATCAATTCCAAATCTTATTGTTTGTGTGCTGCCACAGTGTAATGGGAGGGTCCAAATTTTGTTTTCAGAGTTGGAATACATCGCATTCATTAATGCAATATTTCACAATCATTACGTACCAGTCTATTATTTGTTTTTTATTTTTTTAAGTATACCGTGAAAGTATTTTTCATTAGTTTTAGTAACATATGCATCCGTTATGTTCTCTCAACAAAATTAAAATGTAAGAGAAGATTCAAAATTTGTTGAATCCCTTTTAATATGAATATTCTAATCTAAACATATGCTTAAATTAGTTCAAAAGTGTCACTTTTTTCGATAAGTATAATTAAAATTAATTTTTGGAATGTATTATGTAATGTATCACTTGTCAAATAATATTTGGAATGTGTTAAACATAATTAATAACTGCAATATAATCTTTCATGTATAAATATTTTTCTTCCATTTCTTGCTGTGAAAGACAATATTAATATTGATATATAACATCTGCATTTGTTTTAAATTAGACATTATTTTTTATATTATTGATTTCGATCACGTCCAAAATAATTCTATTAACAGATGTAAAACGAAAATTCGATTAATAAAACATAGTGTTTAATAATCATATATTAGGGTTGGAAATATTGATTTTTGTGAGCACAATAATCATATATTTTAACTGTTTTACAAACTTTGGAACCAAAATAGAAGTAATTAAACACACGATTTTAACTGCTTAACAAACTTTTTGACCAAAAATTTAGGTACCTAAACTTTTGTAGACTCATTCACTTTAAAACCTATTTCTTCTCTAAATCATTCCTAACTTGATTGTTGAGCACTTATAGGTGATCTCCACGAGATTCATCACAATCATACTCCTTTCGAGCTGAATCTAGGCGATTTTGCCCCAAATAATTATCAGCAAATAAAAAAATATATTCGATGAAACTTTTAACACGATGATTGTAAGAGTAAACAACATTAACGTATGACTACATATTTTATAATATGTAACGAAATGCGTATTCGATTAAAGTTATAAATTTACACTGTTTATATTTGTCACATATCTGACTTAACTTGGGAAGTATCTTTGTTTAGCTAAAAAGGATTAAAGAAAACTAAAAAGAAAAGGAAAAGGGTCGAGAAAGAACTTGGATGCTTGCTGTTGAGGGAAGCAGCTAAATCAAAGGACATCAAAACACAAACGTTTTGGGTATTATCCTTTCGACTCTAAAATTGTGAGTGTTTTTTTAATAGGGAGAGAGGAAAAGAATTTGGCAGGAGAGAGAATAATGGAGCATATTTAATTTTTATTTTCAATTTGATTACATTTGTTGCAACCGTTGGATCACTCTAGTTTTCGATCTGTACTTTGGTCGCTCGGACATAGCCATGAATGCTATAGATCGAGTGTCTGATATTACATTCGTCCCATTGTAATTGGCATTTAAGCTCTGTTTTATCTTCGAACTTGGGATCTTAAAGGGCACTCTTCTACATTTCACACTCATTTTCTAGCAATTTTGACTTGGGAATTTGGTAAGTCAAGCCCAACTGCTGCTACTATTGCTACTTTTTCCAGTGCTCAATTTTACCATCTTGCTTTCAACTTCAATGGCGGCTTGGTGGGTCCCAAACTTGAATTTTGGGTTTCAGTTAGGTTCCCCTTTAACTCTCAACCCCGCAATTGGGATCTGTAATTGGCAAATGTTTTAGGGTTTCTAGGTCAATTTGGTTTTTGATATTTGTTGCATATGAATTGTCTGAATGCTGAGGAGCCATTGCATTTTAATGGTACAGTTGTTGCCACGAGTCACTATTTTAATATGCCGATTTTGCTTTCATTAGTATTAACTCTGATGGCAATGTGTATTGGGTATTTAGGGGTGCTATTAATTTAATCTAATTAACCAGTATGAGATAGCAAGTGGGTAATTCCTTTTTGGCTGAAATTGATGATTGGTGCTTAAATTTGTTGTAGGATTGAGCTTAATTATGGGTTGGTCGTTGGGGTGTAGAAGGTTTCTTGTTCTGGCGTGTGTGGTGAGCTTGGGGTGACACTTCATTTGGTAGTGGAGATGCCGCCTTCCCCGGCATTGAGATTCTCTCCTGGGAGAGAGCCAAGAGTTGATGGTCACAAGCGGGGACGCAGTCTTGAGAGTGGATTGCTTTTCCGGGAGAAGGATGATGATCTTACTTTGTTCAATGAAATGCAATCCAGAGAGAAGGAGGGCTTTTTGCTTCAGTTGACAGATGATTTGGAAGACTCATTCTGTAATTTTCTTTACTTACATCCTACCAAGAGAATGTTTCTATTTTTGGTTGTCGCTTTTGGCTAACATTCATGCATGTTTTTTTTTTTTGCCTGGGATGTCAGCTACAAAGTTGAAGCATATTTCTGATGTCAACCTTGGAATCTCCATTCCTGGTCGAGGAGAAAGCAGTGACTTGCTTAATGATGGTGAAAAAAATGATTACGACTGGTGGGTCATGTTTCATATGTTTAAGATTTCTGTTAAATTGCATTGTTTGTTGTGTTGAAATATAAAATTCTGGTTCTAACTGTATCTGTATTTCATCTTGTTAATTATTCAAGTTTCTTGATGACAAAGTTTGAGATTTTGATGTGTATACATTTATTTGTGCTCATCACTGGCCTCCTCACTGATGTCATGCCTGTACCATTCATTTTAAAGGTTATTAACGCCCCCAGACACACCACTATTTCCTTCGTTAGATGATGAGCCATCACTGACTAGTTTTGGAAGCAGAGGAAGGCCTCAGAGTAAACCCATTTCCATATCAAGATCTTCTACGGTGAGCTTGAATACATATATATTGTTATATTTGTGCATGGTCATATTTTTAACGGAAAATATCCTCTGAATTTCTTTTGTTTTTTTATCTAACAACATGTAGTTGTGCTTTATAATTATCATTCATCATATGTTCAATGCCCTCCTGTTTCAGATGGATAAAAGTTACAGAAGCAGTAGGGGCAGTGCAAGTCCCAATCGCTTAAGTCCATCCCCTCGATCAGGAACTAGCACATTGCAAGCAAGGGGAAGGCCATCGTCAGTGCCAAATTCCAGTCCAACCCCAAACATGCGGTGTGCCACTCCATCGAGAAGATCATCTCCACCTCCAAGTAAGTCCATGACACCTGCTTCCAAGTATTCCACCTATACCCCCCGGAGGATGAGCACTGGTTCCAGTGGTTCTGTAGTCTCATCAGGAGTTAGGGGAACTTCCCCAGTGAAGACAAATCGGGGAAACTCTGCATCACCAAAGATAAGGGCTTGGCAAACGAATATTCCGGGCTTCTGTTCTGAATCTCCTCCCAATCTTCGTACATCTCTGACTGATCGACCAGCATCATATGTTAGGGGCTCATCTCCAGCATCCAGAAATGGTAGGGACTCTGCCTCCAAAGTCAACAGGCAATCAATGTCTCCAACTGCTTCTAGGAGCAGTAGTTCTTTTCAGAGTCATGATCGAGACCAATTGAGCTCACGCAGCAAAGGTTCCATTGCATCGTCTGGTGATGATGATCTAGACTCTCTGCAATCCATCACAGTTGGTAGTATGGACAGATTAAGTTCAAGGAGGGGTGCTTCATTTTCCACCAACAGAAATCCTACCATTTCCAAGAAATCAGCCAGGATTGTGTCCCCAAGTTCTGCTCCTAAAAGATCATTCGATTCAGCTATCCGGCAAATGGTATTTTTTTCATCTTATCACTTAAAACAATTTCCTTGGTTTGGCAGTGTTATGAATGACAGATGGTGGAATGTGGCAAAGGGCCAAAATTCTGCCATATAAACACGCCATTGCAGCCAGTGGCAGCATGGTACTGCCTAGCAGGTCTCCCCTCACAAATTGCCTAGGGTGACAGCAAAATGTGTGACATGGCATTCCACCATGGCCATTTAACAACATTGATTGACTGACAATCATGAAGTGTGTTTAATTTTCATGGAATTTGAGATTTAGTTCCTTTTAAAGTATTTTCCCTGTGCTTCTGCCAACTCTCTCTCTCTCTCTCTCTACCCTCCTATGCACACAAGCACCCTCTCACCTTTATATATGTGTCTTCTGATGTGAACCAGTTTTCAAAGTGGAAAGTCGACTGATTCAACTATCCTTTGGAACTTTCAGTCTTCAAAATATGTTGTGCTTTTTATGCTTTATATGTGGTGCGTGCATGTCCTATACACGTATATTGTTAAATTACAATTTATTAGACAACTACACCAAGCTAATGGCTTCTTATCAAGTTATCCTCCATCTTGTTTGGGTATCTGCATATGAAATAACATATTTGCACTAAGCATATTCATTGTATCAGGGTTTTTCTGTTGGCTGACACTTTGAAACCTCTGCTGATCTTTGTAGCAAGGAAGTCAGTACTTGGTTAACATTAACAACGAAAATCTGGATTTCTATTGGGTCTTTTACTTGTGCAATTCTGCCAATTACTTATTGCCATGATTAATAGTCAGATTTAATAAAATACTCACTTTTGTTAGTTACCGTTTAAATGCTATGCAGGATAGAAAAAATCCTCAGAACATGTTCAGGCCACTCTTATATAGCGTTCCGAGTACAACCTTTTATGCTGGAAAAGCAAATTCTGCACATCGTTCCCTTGTATCCAGGAATTCATCTGTTACTACAAGCAGCAATGCAAGCTCTGATCAAGGTACAACCTTTGCTCTTGACACTGAAGGGAGTGAACATAATCAAGATGATATGGCAAGTGAAGCTGATAAGATACTATATCCTGATGTACATGAAGTGTTTGTCTTTGATAAGATTGATGCATTAAATGCAAAAATTGAGCAAGAGATTAATAGGGAATCAGTACGTATCCTGCAAAACGAGACCAGAGACCCAAAGACTGTTTCTGGTCCAATTGAATCTGAAGATTCTGTATCCCACATTCATATTGACACTATAGTTGATGAAAGTTCAGACATTTCACGTGTTAGAGGTGACATTTCTGAAACTGGTAGTTTTGAAAATTCAGCACTCTGTTCTCATTGTGGTGGTTGTTATGAGGTCACTAATCATGCTGAGAAGAATACTGGGCTCTGTCCAGAATGCAGCAGGAAAATCTCATTGTTGCGAGTCATCTTCCCTGAGACAACTTTGGCAGTGTCTAAAGACCCTCCATTGATTACAACCAACATTCCTAAAGAAGAAGAATCATTTTCTGAAACAAACCAATTAATGGTTGCTTTGGAACTGCCTGAAGAGACTAATGTGCGTAACTTAAGGTTTTCCCATGGTGAACAGGATGCTGAGGAAAGTCTAACTTCATGCAGTGAACTAAAGCAGGATCACTCACAAAACATTCCTTTTCCAAATTCATTGGTGGAGGGAAGTAGACAGACATCTGGCAAACAGCTAGAGATGAACCAATCAGGAGTTGATTACAAGAAGCCTCATAATGAATTTGGGGATAAGCATCACTCAAGTGGTCACCCTAATTTGAGCATGGACCCAGTGGAAGGCACTGGCATTTCTGTATTGCTGGAAAGGACTAGCAGCAACAAAGGACCTGTAATCCAGAGCAGGAGTTTTACTGCCACAACCATATCTTACGATGATCTGTCTCTTGCTAGAGACAGTGTCAGCAGTTTTAGAAGCTCAACAAGACCTGGTAGTTATTCTGCCTCATCATCAATTGATCTTGGCTCCGCTAGGCAAACAGAGTTTCGTGCACAGAGGCAGTTCAGTAGCAGGAAACTGGATGTGGACTGTGGATATGACTTAAGGATCAAGCCTCCAAGCACTGCTTCATCTTTGTCTGGAGCTTCAAACCATTCTCGCCATGAGTTAGGTCTTGCAACTCAAGAGACTGCTGGCAATACAGAATATGGCTTTGTAGAAGAGGGACCCCAAGTTTTTCAAGAAATTCATGCTTCAGGAAATACAGTGACAGAGATAATTGATCCTTCTTCCATTGATTTAGTTGTTGAGGAAGTTAAATTTGAAAATGATGATAGTAGTAGATTAAATAATGCTTGCAGCTCAGAATTTTTAAGTCAGGCTGCTGTTGTTCAGTCTGATGACAATCTGGTCACATCAATTCCAAATCATGGGGATTGTATGTCACATGAAAATGTTGATGATCATCCAAATAATGCCAGGGATGTCTCAGATACAGAAACATCAGCTAAGGTTCCAGAGTTATCCAGTCAAGAGAAACATGATGTACAGAAGTCCAATGTTAATGATGCGGATGCTTTGGTTACAACCAGCTGTTCCCCAATTACAGAATCAGAAATAGAAGGGGAAAACTATTGCGAGAATAATATTGGCAATGTGAATGATGATGATCTGCCAAAGAGGGCCCTTGATGACTTTCGGGAACCTTCTGCCCAAAATTCTTCTAATGATTCTTATGCTGCTTCTATTTCAGAGGTCAATGTCTCTGAGTCCCATGGCATTGGTAAGATATCTCTACTATATTTAAATTTCAATTGAAAGATATTACATTTACTGATAACTACCGAGATGAGAATAATAGCTTCTCACTCTTCTCTTAGAGATGAACTTGTTTATGAATACACCATACATTGCATAAACTTTGAGCAATTTCATGAGATGTAACAATTTATAGAATAAAATCTAATCTCAGTATATCTGGTTTGTCTTGAATAGATAGTTAGGATATTTGGAAATCTTGATTCATTTTCTGCAATGTAAAATCGGTGATGTATGTTTTTACATTTTGTATTCCAACATTCATTCATGTGTCCTGAGCAATTTACAGACAATACCTTAGCCTAGTTTCCAACTTATTGAAAACAGTTTGCAAATGTAATTTATGGTCATCTTGTTGAGGATTCCACTGGCAATTATAGCTGAAGTTATATTTTGTTGTTGTTGGGGGAACCTTACCTTATATGAAGTTCACGGAGAAAAGAAGGCCTCTTCAGTTTTCTATTGCTTAAGATTCTTCCTCTCTTTGTACTTTGTGCCTGTAATATATTTTATCCGCTGAAGCTTTCTTTGGAAAAGTATTAGTACCTGGACAATTTATAACAGTTCTTTTATTCTTTATGGCAGAGGGATCGACAGTTACAGTGGAGTGTCAAGGTGCAGGCAATTCTAGAAGTCTGACACTTGAAGAGGCAACCGATACAATCCTTTTTTGCAGTTCCATTGTCCATGATCTTGCATATCAGGCTGCCACATTAGCAATGGAAAAGGAATACTCTGACCCATTTGAAGGTTCTGAACCAACTGTGACCTTATTGGGGAAAGCTAATTCTGATAGAAATAGTCGCAGCAGACATGTCAGCAAGCGTACTTCAAAATCCCAAAAGACCAAGACCAAGCAGAGGAGGGTGGAAACTGATGTCGAAACCCCTTCTGATAAGACTGAGAATGATGAAAATATTGACGAGTCTTTCACACACAATGTTGGGCTTCCTAACAAGGTAGATAGTATGAAACCCCCCAAGCTTGAATCAAAGTGCAATTGCATCATAATGTGAGAGGACAATGTTAAGGTTGTACCTACTATTCCTGGCAGCATTTCTGCACTTCCCTTTTGGCCATACATGGGAGCTTAGTCAAGTGCTTGTGCATTTATGGTTTTAGGTTGAAGGCTGTTTGGGATAATAACCACTGCCAATTGGTTTGTGTTGGTTCTAATATATTTTGTAACAAATGAGTTGTGTTTGACATAATTGTAAAGTTATTTTTTTCCCTCCTTATTTTTGTTCGTAGGCCATAAGTTAAGAGGCATTTTGGAGGACTACTATGTGCCCCCTCCACTTGCTGCATTCTTGTTTGTTATTTTCATCTCAATTAAGTGATCCATCAAAGCAAGTGTGAAGTAGAAAAGAATTCATATTCATTATACATTGTTGCTAGTCACTTTCTATTCTTTCTGACTCAAGTGAGTGAACAAAAATCCACACTCTGCCCACCACATCCAATTGTTTATTTCCGACAGAATTGTAGCATTGACCCTAGACTATTTATCAAATAACGTATTCGAGAATAGAGGGGGTTATGTTATTGTGTCAAATGTTAGAAATTATTTTAAAACAATGAACATTGAATTTTTATTTTCTTTATATTGTTGTATAATAAATACTTGTAATAACGAATATAACATGTGTCAACGAGTTAGCATACCAAATCCAAAGATAAGAATCCCACTAATGAATGCTTTAAGGGTAGTAGTGAAGACATTAATAAATAAATAAATGCAAAAAATTATGGTGAACGTATTGAAAATCATAGGAGAAATACATTAATAATATTATCCCATAAATACTTAATAATTAAATTTCTTAACCATGTTCTAAGGATATTTGTTAACATTTTTATATAACCCGCAAATTTATAGAAGAAAAATTTATGTTATTTATTAGTCGTGCTTAATAGTGTTATAATTACGCAACGTTGAATACATTTTATTATTTCTCTCACAATGAAGGTAGGTAGCATTTCCTATAAGCGAAATAAAACGAAGTTTTGTTTTCGTCCAAACTATTTCGTCAATATTTTCTAGATGACATTTCGTGGCATGTGTGTTTCCTTTGCCAACAACTTTCAATTATACGAATTTCCAAATTCCAAATTTTGGGTCAAAGCAAAATATTTTACAATAGTTGCGTTGCGTTGCGGAAAAGTACTAGCAAGAAGGAAAAAAAAAAAAAAAGAGGGGTCAAGTGCCATAACATAAGAGGGCATATTCTTAACGTAATCGAAAAAGGGAAGCATATTCAATTGAAAACACGAAGATAAAAGCTTATAAACAAGATCGTTTGTGTAACAAACAACCATTTCAGAACTCAGAACATTACCCAATTCCTGTTCCCAATTGCATTTGTTTGTAACACTTCTCAAAGGAAAAACATTGCAGAATTATCATAATAACTCACAACTATAATTAATTGGTTTATTTACAAACAAACTATCAGACAAATAAACAGAGAAAGGAGATGAGTGAGGTGGCAGCTACGACTTCTTCAATGATGCACAATTACCCTCTCATTTCCGCCATTGTGGCTTTTGCCATCGCACAAGCCATCAAGTTTTTCACCACCTGGTTCGTCCGTTTTGTTTTTCTTTCAATTCCTTTTTTTTTCTCGTATTTCACGAATCCAGTGTTGAATACAATAATTTGGAATAAAATATTTAAGTTTTTGGTTTGGCTAATGATGTGTGAATTATGAATTTCTTAGGAAGAATTAAATTATGACATTGAAATTGTAACTATTTGGCTAATGATATGTTTGATTGAGGGTTTATTATTATTAATTATTATGATCATTATTAATATGCAGGTATAAGGAAAAAAGATGGGATCCGAAGCAACTTGTTGGATCTGGTGGAATGCCTTCATCCCATTCAGCTACTGTCACTGCTCTTGCCTCTGCAATAGGGTTCCATGAAGGCTTTGGAGGACCTCTTTTTGCGACTTCTTTGGTTCTAGCTTGTATTGTATGTCTTTTGTTCTTCAAATCAATCAATTCATGCAGATTGCGTCAAGTGCTTGATATGTTATGTTGGAGATTCAATCTTTTTAAATTTATTTTATTTTTATTTTTATGTTCCACCATAAAATATCCAAACAATGAAATGGTACCTTTATTTTGATTCCATTCCACTCACCCTTGACTATCCAAACATAGTCACTTTAAGAAAGGATTTGATGTCCTAAAAATGACTAGGTTACACAGCCAGAAACTAATTGTTACTGACTTGCTTATGGTTGGACAAGTTTCTTATATGGATGTTGCTGGCAGGTGATGTATGATGCTACTGGTGTAAGATTGCAAGCAGGGCGCCAAGCAGAGGTTTGATACCTTGTGCTGTTAGTTATTTTTTCACTTGGGACACGCTTTGTCCTTTCTTTACTTGTGAACCATGTCCTGTTCTGTACTTCTTTCATGCAAAGCATGAGAGTTGAAATCCCACAAAAGCCTTTTCTATTTGCCTGTGATGGCAGCAAAAGAAATCTTTTATTTTTTTTAATTTGGTTGGTTTCTGTTTTTCTTTTACTGAGTTTAATTGACTGAATTTTCCCAGCTTTTGAACCAAATTGTGTTTGAACTTCCTGCTGAACATCCTCTGGCTGAAAGCAGACCACTCCGGGAACTTCTTGGGCATACACCCCCTCAGGTTCACCATTTTCTATTTTTGTTTTTGTTTGCCTGCCATGATTATTTTATGGATCTTAGTCAAAGGAATTTAGTGTGTCATTTTCCTTTTTACACACTTGATAGAATAACATTATTCTCTGGAAACCTTTTTAGTATAAACATAAGAAATTTTAATATATACTATGATGACTGTTGTTGATAATTAACGAAAGAATCAGAATCATGGATTTGATATACGGAAATGAATCAGAATCATATAATTCAACTTGGTGTAATTAGGATCTGATTTTCTTTCTTTCTTTTTTTAGACTAGCTTTATAGGAAAGAATCTTCTGAATTCAATGAGATTCTTCTTTGATATTCAGGCAGATCCTTCCTTAGTATTCAGGCCTAGATTAGAACAAAACATTAATTTCATCATCCTATGATTGTGTTAATATTTCTGTTTTATGAACATTCGAATTTATCTATCTATCTATCTATACATATACATACATACATATATATATATATATATATATATATATATATATATATATATATATATATATATATATATATATATATATATATATATATATATATATATATTTATTTGTAATGTTAAGAGCTGAGGTTTTCCTTGCTTTAATGCACTGTTTCAGTACCATCATGATTCTGTCATACTCATGCTATCTGATAAAGTAGTATTAAGCGAATGATGAATCACGCCATACAGAGATAATAATGTGCCAAAACGATGATTTCAAGTCATTAACAAGATTATGGCATTTACCCACACGCTCTGCTACACTTTTGGTTTGAATTGTTTTCACTGCCACTTATCTCACCGTGTCTCACTTTCTCTTATCCCTCTGAATATTAGAGAAACCAATTTGTAAAATCTTTAGTAGGTCAAGTAGGTATTCAAGTACTCAAGATAAATGGGTTCCATGATCCGAAGGCATAAATTGAGTTTGATCTTCATTGCTTTGGCACTTCTTTTATAATTGTTGGTTTTGATTTTTAATATTCTCCATACTTACTGCAGGTTGTTGCCGGTGGGACACTTGGGCTCATAACAGCAGGTATTGGCTATCTAATAACCATGGCTAGTAGTTGAAATTTAGGATTCGTTTTTGGCATCTCCAGAGGACCCTTGTATAGAAATCAAAAACACCAGTCTCTTCTAGAACCTTGTTCCCAAAGATGAAGTCTGATAAGTGCTCCATCCTTGCCATCCCAGCCGATTCACTTAACCTTTTCATTTCAACTGTGGCGATAATTGAATTGTATTGATTACACTTTGATGGAATGGAAGTATGTCTTATGGGATCATTTGTTAGCCATAATACTTGCTTCTTAGGTTGTTCGGTTTTAAGAATTTTGGAATGGATTTATTTGTAGGCATTACTTTCATTTTGACAACTCTTCTGATATTGCAGATGCTTATTGTTTTTCATCAGTCAAAAGTAATCTTATTGGTTATGATTTGTGGATGAGTTTCAACATATTTACAACGCTAGTTATAGTTGTATTCAATTTGACGTATTTGTGTGTTGGGAATCCCTTTCACAATGCTCTCGAATAACGATATTCTAAGGATATTTTTGTGGAAATCAAACTCAATTTCTTTAGCACAAACTTACATGTGTCGTCAATTGAACTGTAAACATCCATTGGGCTTTGTTTAGGAACATGAGAAAGAAACAATTATGTTAGGACTTACAGCACGTGAGAGTCTTGCTTTTGGGAAGAGGGTCTGGTACTGATATTTAAATATCGCTTGACATACATCTGATGTTATCAAAATCATATACATGACAAAAAACTAAAAATGGACCGGTTTTTCGACCCAGATTCAGAATGAAACGGTAATTTGTAGTCTTTTCCTTATTCCTGGTCGCAAACTAACGTATGACTCTGTATCAAAGAAAAATCACGAGAATGGTTCAACATTCAACGAAAATTCCATAAATACACTGCAAGAATATAATTTTTAAAGAGAGGCACATCAAATTTGATCTAAATAGAACAGAGACCAACCAGGCAAAGAGCACACATGAATTGTTCAAATCAGGACGGCCGAGTCCACGAAGCTCCTACCATTTTAGGTCAGAGGAATTGAATAGCCAAAAATGTATGCTTCTAACCCTTGGAAACAGAGAGGTTTTTCTCGTTTTTAGTAAGTGTGACCATGACCGTAAAAGGTCGAATAACTTCAAAAGGAAAAAAACAAAAACATTCCTGAAAGAATAAATACAAAATAATCGGTGTATTTGTTTATTTTAACAGTGCAATCCCAGTATGGTAGAAAAAATCCTCTGCATCTTACACTAGGATCCCCAGCAAGTTCTGAATTGGTACGCCAGGAAGTTTTCTTGAAAGAATCAACACAAAATCATCGTGTATTTGTTTTTTTTAACGGTGTACTACCCAGTATAGCAGAAAAAACCCTATGCATTTCCACTCTAGGATCCCCAGTAATTCCCGAACTTGTACGCCAGGCAATATGTTCATCAGGTCTAACTAAAATGGCCCCTCTGTTCGTCATGTTACACATATCCCACCAATTTGAAGTTGACGATTGAACTTCAATAACATCTGAATAATTCTTCCAAGGTGATAATGCTGCTTCACTTCCTTTCTCAAGTCCTTCAACAGAATCCGTAGACCAAAAAATACACACTCTGAGAGAAATTTCTTGTTCCTCAGCCGCCTTGAATGCTTCACGAGCTAGATGATAAGATTCCTCTACAGGTGCTATGATGAGAACGAACTCAACTTTATCTCCTGACACAAGATCCAGTGTAGAAACAGTTTCCTACAAAACATTCCTTACACTTTAACAAAAGAATAAAGTTGATGTTTAAATCAGTAAATATCCACTAGCTAAATCTGAATAACTATAAAATGAAGCCAGCAGTTCCAAATTTTAAGGCAGGAAAAAAATAGTTTTTTAAAGTTGAAAATTAGTAATATTTATTTTTTAAAATAAAAGTAAATAATGCCTACTTGGAGACAAAAAAAAAACTTTATAATAATTTATCTTAGCATGAAGAATTATGCATTATATATGTATACAGTGGCACAAACCTCACTTAATGGGTTTACTCTCACAAACATATGAGGAAGTCTTGATCCTGGCTGTGCTGAAGGGGTGTAATCCCTCCGACGTCCTGTTAGTACTTCTGGAGGACTCTCAACGTCATTACTCTCTGGCACAAGTGCTCCTTGTAGGTATCTAAGTTCAACAGCATCCGCAAAGTGCTCATGAATCATATGACCCGTCCATCAAAATGATATAAAATGGCACACGATTATAAATGATTCTAATCATAAATTTGGTCCAACTGACTGATGTGAACAAAACCTTGTAAATAAAGAAACAGATAGAGCTAGAGGAATATAAGGATGGTGATATGCTCGGTAATACAAAATGTGGAACACAAATTATTCAGTGATACCTAAAACCAAGATCTTCAGCAGGAAACTGAAGGTGAAGGCTTTTTCCTTCTTCAAATATATATTTTAACTTAGCCAATCTTGACGATCCAAGAGGGTTACTTTCATTTAGGACAAGTTCTGAGAGCTGGGCACGACCAAGTCCAAAAATTCCATCCAAAGCTACCTTCTGCAATCCGGATGGTAAGATGGAACCAATACCATTAACTATAAATTGATGTACTGCAATTAAATGATGAAAAACAGTTAAATTTCAGTTCATTAGCAATGAAAGTGTTGTGCATCATTGTTTGTTAGATTACCAGATTGGTGATGAAGAAAACAAAAGAAAATTATTACATAGCCTAATTATACATACCTGTGTTTGCAACAGTTGGATCAAGACCAAGAGCAGCAGGAACAGACATGGCAGCTTTATAGTTTTCTAGACTTAATCTTGTATTAAATAAAGCAATCTGACAATAATAGACAGCAATAAATTTCAATCAGTTTACCGAACATCAATATAAATGTCAAAAAATGTACCAGGAGATAAAAGCTCTACCGGTTTACGTTCAGTTTCATAGGTATTTAGCATTGAAATTGGCGCAATACCCTTAATTACATAAGCAATTTTCCAGGCAAGATTATGGGAATCCTGAATGCCGGTGTTCATTCCTGGCACATCACATCAATATTTTATGTCAAATTGCTTCATTTAAACTGCATCAACAAAAAATAGTGAGTTTGAAACCTAAAGCTGTGACCTAGGGGAGGATTGTACCAAACCATCATCACCAGTGCCATAAGGTGCAGACTTGTGTGCACCCAGAAATAGAACAGTGCATCAGTCTTGACTCTAAGATCTTCTATAACCACTTGTTGTGGTTAACCAAATGTATGCTAGTGTGCTTTATTCAGTCACTTTGAAAATAATATGCAGAACTAATGTGCCAAATACTTTTAAAACAAACATCATAATAAGTACCCACATACTGACTTTAAACACTTACCTATCATTTAGTTAATTCATCCAAAATAGATGGATAAGCATAAGCTCCTAATTGAAGCACCAATACCACACATCTCACTTGTGACACTAGATATTTACAGCATGTTCATTATTCGACATCTTATTAATTGATTTCCTTCCCCATATTGGATTAGATTTCTCTCTTTTTCCTTAGGGCCTTTGAGGATGGAGGAGTTTGTATGGGAAGGAGAAGAGTCAATTTTTCATTTCTAAATTTAGGGAAATATTAAATATTTATAAAAAAATAAGGAATGTTTAGAAGGGTATATGACAATCTCTAATCTTAAAAACATTGTGAAATACGGAAAAATGACAATGCCATGTCCATATAAAGAAAGTCTTAGAATTTGGACTTAGGGCCTAACTCAACTTCACAAAGACTGGCATGTAAAGAGGAATTATCCAAGCCTTATAAATAATACTTAAGCCATATCTCTATCCTTTTAAGCCCAAGGCGTGAGGAAGGTGCTGCATTAATTTCAGTCACTCCTAAACTGGCCTCAATAGCAGCTTCAACTGGACATATGACATAAATAGAACTTCTAAAGCTTGGAGTATCGTCAACTTACAATATGAGTTTGAGTTAAGCCACAAGTCCAAATTCTAAGAAACATACAAGCAGGTTCTGCAGTTGAAAACTTGAATCTGTCTCTTAAAGTGACACTATCATGTTCCCAACCAGAAAGAGAAAAAATTCAGATCTTTTCCTACTTTGCATAGATTAAAAGTAATGTAATACTGATTACTTTTTACTTACACCAATAGATATCTACTATCTGCAAGGAAGATAAAGTAACTAACCAAATCCACCAGCAGGAGGAAATCGATGAGCAGCATCACCAGCAAGTAATATTCTGTTGCCACTACACATAAACCTCTCAGCAACTTCAGCATGCATAATCCATGGCTTTATATCAATTACATCTACATCTCCAAACTCTCTACCAACAAGTTTGCTGATCAATTTCTCACATGCCTACTACAAATCATACATAAATGTATTATGCTTAATCATATAAAAAGGAATAAATAATGTTATGCAGGTTAGTTTTTTTACTTTATATGCATACTACAACATATTGTTGCCTTCCTACAAAGTCTAAATTTTATCGTCAACACAGACATTATATCTATTATAGGTTGACAAATTTATTTACAAAAGGGTATAAACCATCTTTTATGGATGAATGATACCTTTGGACTGAAATCCTCAATTGTTTGCTGAGGTGGATAAAAGGGTATCTGCAATAATATAATTTGATTCACAATAAATCAGTTGAAAACAATAATACAGTGACATTTTTACAATTAGTATAAAGCATATTATACTCATGGCATAATATCTGTGTTTCACGGATAGTTCTAAAGGAAGGCTACAAATGGAAGATTGGGTGGATCTAACATATAGGTTTCAGATGGAAAGGTGGGTGAGGAGGAGAATAGGCCATGGAAGGCTTGATGATCCACTTCCAGATAGTGAACACTCAACTGTCAAAGACATTATGAATGTGATAATGTGATACAAGTTCTATTTGATTAAGATGACAGATAGGATGTGTTCAACACATCACCGTACAAGTTGGTCAGGGAGGATGCTAGGATTTGGTCTTGTGAGAAGCATGGAAATTACTCTGTTAAGAGAGTGTACAGGCTGTTCATGAAAAAAGTGGTTGAAGCCCTCATCTACAAGTTGATGGGAATTGAGTGGCTATTTGGGATATTATCCCTACTGCCATGAGGCTTAAAGATAAAGGAGTGGAGTGTCCTGCTATTTGTACTGTTTGTGAGGCAGGGGTTGACAATGTTTGTCACCTGTTTTCTTGTTGCAGGAAAAGGCAAGATTATTGGAAAAAAGTGCCATGTGGGATAGCATCGGTGCTGCGGTAGATGCCCAAGCAGTCTACAGCAGCTATTATTTCACATTCTGCATAGATACAGCCTTGAGCAGAAAGCTATATTTAGAAATGACAAAATCGAAGGAAAGGACAATGTGAATGTTCAAGTAATCTATATGGGAAATCAACTTTTGGCTGAATGGAATCAAGCTCTTGCAAAGGTGGTTAACAGAATTCAGAGGAATAACACCCAGCAAATTACAAGTGTTACCCAAGTCAAGGGGATCATAAAATGTACTTTTGACACGGCTATTGTTTGGTAATATAGCAGCTGATTCTTCAGAACTTGGAGCTATTGTTCTTCAATGTAAGTGTTTACTCTCCCAACATCCAAACTAAAGAGTTGAGTTTGTGAAAAGGCATGCAAATGTTGTAGCCCATTCTTTAGCTTGGGCGGAAATAAGTTATGCAAGGCTCAAGATTCATCATCAAACTCCTACTTGTACTTACAATTTGATCGTTAATGATATGAGGCGATTCTGATTCTGTAAAAAATAAAGCATATCATACCTGCAATACAAATTCCCCTTGCCTGAGATCATGAGCAACAAGGACCCCAATAGCTTCAGTGTTGAAGATAAAAAAAAGCATACCAGGATTCTCCTTAAGCAAAAACTGGCCAAGGTCTCTGCTAAAGAAATGGACACTGACAAGTTTTTGCAAGTCCTTCTCACCTCTCATCTCTATTCCTACAAGCTTTCTTACAGTACTACCTGCACCATCCGTACCAATAAGGATGCTACAGTGAATATTCTGTTCTACACGCTTCCCTTTAATGAGAGAAGATGCAGTTACTGTTACAAAGTCATCACTGGCATCGATGGATACACATTCATGGCCCATCATTATTTTCTGTTCACAAGACTGTTCATTTCCTTCCAAGCTTTCAGGTGCACATATTTGAAAGCCTAGATTTTCAAGTCGCTTGAGTAGTAACATAGTTAGCTTGTACTGTGAGAAGTGCGCAACAGAGACTGGGCTGACAACATGCTCAAGATCTGATAACAAGTACAAGATATATGAATATTCTAAAGCTCAATATTGACAAAAATGAGCAATATCATGCCGTCTATTTGTTGATACCACATATTTGGAATGCTATGTATAAACATTGTCAAAACTATAATAAAAATAGAAATCTCCCTATTGATATCAGACATGAACTACGGAATAGCACCTTGAGGTTGTATGTGATCCACAGATCCAAGAATTGAACCAGAGAGGGAAGTACAATATATAAATTTCCTCCATAAATCTACTGGTGGTTGAGACCTTTGGATCTCTTCAACAAGGCCATCAATTTTGCGAAATATCTAAAATGGCACCACTGATCAAAATAAATCACAATGCTCCTTTGGAAATAAAATAATTCATCAAAGAATGTTTTTAACCTCCATGGATCGATTGTTGATGAAGTGTGCTTGTGGATGTTTTGAAAATGCCTTGTTTCTCTCCAAAACTGTGCAATTAATACCTATAATAAAACAAAAAATACAAATATCATGAGCAATAATCAACTTGAATTAAAGCATAGGAGTAATTTGCTGATATAAGGACAAAATATACAAGATGGGGTGCATCATTAAGCACAATTTCAATAGAACTATAAAAGTAATATGACCTGCCTAACAAAAAGATTAAAAGAAACTCAAATAAAACACTATTTGTTTAGACAATATTTTTGCCAAATATATATAAACAATAGACGCGAAGAAATTACTTTTTATAATCAATTTATAAACTGAAAACAATATTCATATTACCAGTTGTAGCATTCTCAGATAAGCTACAACACGTTAACAAAGGAAACTCCAACAGGTCATTTAAAAACTTTGCATTATCATACGATATTTCTTACAACAAATATACAATGTATAAACAATGGAGAAATAGAAATAACTGTCATTCCAAAATTACATACTGAAAAACTGATTTATATTATAATATTTGTTGTAGCATTTTCAGATGTGCATAACAAGGTAACTTCATAGCCAATGTTACTGACAACCATGCATTGGAAAAGCAAAAACAACGTATTATAGAAAATTATTAGAAAATAATAGGTTTAAATCACTTTTCATCCCCATAGTTTCGTGACTGTAAAATTTTGGTCCCTATAAATTGTTAATTACAAATTTGGTCCTTCAATTTTCCAAAACTAAGTAATTTTGGTGCAGCGTTAATATATCATTCAATTGTTAAGAGGAAATGTTCATATATCTTTCAGAATAACAAGTATTAAAGTTAATTGTCAAACCTACTTCTAATATCTTATGTAAATGAGTAATTGACATTGTTACACTTGCAAATATGTAGCATTTCATATAAGCACATAAAAGCAAAGGACCAAATTGCTTTTTGGAAAACTGGAGGACCAAATCTCCAATTCAAATTCTGTAAGGATCAAAATTCAACGCAATTTCATAACACACACTTTAAGGTCAGATCTACCACTATGGAATCCAAAACAAGCAGTTGGCATCCATCAATAGGAATGCTTTAACCATTTAGAGTCTACCTAATTTTGTGAGAAGAATAGAGAGAACAAGACCCACAGGTCCAGCGCCAATGATCAGAACTGGATGCACAACATCATTGCCATCAAGAACTCCTTCCTTTGAGAATCCTCTGCTTTGCATGTGCTGAAGTGCGGAAACTCTAATTCGAGTTTTGTCCCTAAAGGGGTAACTATACCGTTTTATAAACCTTAGAAACCCCATGACACTGTAATTTAAAAGCCAGGCTTAATTGTTCTCCAACAACAAGAAAACTCGAGGCTTATAAGTAATCTGGAAAAAAGAAGAGCAAAACAATCATGAACAATCTAACATAAACAAATCCCACTACCACCGTCATAATAATCAGAACATTGACGACAAAGGAAACAGTTCATGTCATTACACTAAAAATGAAAACATAAAAAACACCTGAGCCACCACAGTATCTAATGAAACGTTGTCAACAACAATACTCAGGTTTTCAATGATTCAGACATTGTATCAAACATGTTATGGCAGCTATAGAGCCAACCAAGCAATATCACTAACTTCTTTCTCACCACATCATGTGTGTGCCCCTTTTCAGTTTTCCCTTTGGATGTTGGAGAAATATAACCAAAATGTTTTGACTTTTTTTTCACCCTTATTTAATGATTTTCTGACTTTTATTTTACCCCTTCCGTTAAATTTTATGATAATTAATTACAAGTTAAATCAATAGCATGATTGTATTTTAATTTAGGATTTAGGAGAATTATATTGTTTGTATTTTGATTTTTGAAATAAATTATTTATTTATTAGTGGATCTGTTATAAGCTGTAATAAACAAGTTGTCAAAGAATTATTAAATGCAAAACTATTATAAAAAATTAACTGGAATTTCTTTAAAATTATGGTAAGGAGTGTCTTATTAACACATTTTTATTCTTTTATAACTGAACACGTTTATCTAATAAGATTTACATTAAATTGATTTAATAGTACTTTTTTAAAATTAAATTATATATTATTAAATTTTAAAAAAATTGATTACTATATTTTAATATATTATTATTGTTTAATTTTATTTTTGGTCTCTTTAATTTAGGGTATAAGAAATTTAATCCCTCATTTTTTTTTCATGGAATAAGTTTCTCTAAACCCTAGTACACAGTTTTAAAATTTCCTATCATAACTATGTCTCTCAAATTTGCAAAACAAGCACTATATATAATGAAACTTTATTTAATTTTCTAATGCACTTTATGTTATACTTGTTAACCTTTCTTTATATCTGATATAAAAATATGTTTACCACATTTCAGAATTTACAGGATTAACAAATTAAAAATTATAATTGATAATTTTGAAAATTACTATTATAAAATAAATAAATATACACTATATAATATTTATAACTAAATAATAATATAATTACACATGACCTATTCTATTATGATTATGATTAGTGCTAATAACTTATAGCATAAGATTGTTTGGTGCAAATCTCCCACCCTAGTTCTAGACCTAAAACTTTAGCAAATGATTTCTCTCTCTCTCAATATATATCTTTGTAAAAAAAAAATTCTTATACAGTTTTTTTCTTCATAAAATATAAATATCCACCTAATATAGTTGCTTGTACATATTAATACACTTCCATTTGAGTGCATTTCTATTATATAATTTATATAGAATGCATGAAAATAACACATGAAATAAGGTTGAAGTTTGTTTTAAGTATTTTAGATAAGAAAAATGTTTTATAAAATAAAATAAAATTGTGTTTCTTATAACAATTTTGTTTACAAGAACGACTAAACTCATCATATATTAAAGTAATTTTATCAATATATTTTTTAACACTAGTTAAAACAATCTCCAACGGTGAAATTAAAAAAAGTCATTTGATAAAATATTTTATTGAAATACAAACAAAATTAGATGTAATACAACCATTTACTTGCGTCATCACATACTGTAATTTTATGATGTTACATATTATTTGTGTGATAGTCACATTCTATTAATATTTGCTTACATCATCGTACTTCAATTTTATGATGTTACATATATTATCTAAATGTGTACCTAGAATCATTTATTTTACTGTGAATAATTATTGTTAATTATACACAATATTAAATATTGTAACATATATTAATTTGTTATCTTTATTTTTGAAATTTTCACAATGTTACCAAACTGGGTGCACTCTAAATTAGGTGAAATCTCCTTCAAACATGTTTTTGACTAAAATATAGTCGTCATTTTAGGAGATATCCATCTGCAAGTGTTAAATGTAGTTGTCACAGACTATGTGTGCTTCTCTTGCATGATCATCATATATTTTTTTTAACTTGGCACGACTAAGAGTTGTAGAACTCTCCTGGGCCATTTCAATCAATTTATTGTGGTAGCACGAGAAAATCCAAGGTCGAAGAGTATTTATTTTCTGCATTAGGTGATATTTGATTACGTTCTAATTAGAATTGAAGTTTTGTCTCCGTAACATACAAAGTAAACGTTTACATTAGGCAAAGTGTAACTTCAAAATAATTGAAAAAACAAGAACTAAAATATCTAAGTTTTTTCCTATTGCATTGACGTGGCGAACAAATTTGATCATCAAAGTATTGTCTTGCTAAGGACAAAGGTGACCGAGAGTCAATTCAAAGAAAAATATTGTGTTCACAAGAGACCAGGTCAACCGTCCATCCAAATATGCTTGATTCCTCCAAGCATTCGTCCTGCAGATACATCACTGCACATTCAAAGGTGTGAATATCGTGTTTATCTAAAGCATTGTTTTATATTCTATCTACATTCAGTAATTTGAATCAAGCAATAGAAGAAGAAAGAATAACATATATGAGCTTCAATGAAAGAACTTAATGAATCATTTTTCCCATCACCGATTAATAAGTACAAGAATCTAACATGAAAATTTCAGTGGTTAAAAGTTGTATTACGTACCAAAGGCTTGTCTCTTGTGATGTGAGGACAATGTATTTGAAGCTAATTGGGCATTTGAAGGCAACCGGACGTAAGCCAATGACTCTTGGTCACTTTCTCGACTAATAAAAAAACATTGAGTTTACATGTTTTGCGACCTCGAACATTATATATAATAAGGGTTAGAGTAAGGGAAGCAAATGAAGTTCTTCAACAAGTATTGTTGGTTGACCAAATTGTGTTTTGGATTAATCAATTAATAGACTTTAGTTTAATTTTGTTTTAAGTTGTAATAAGGGTCCAATCGGAAATTTAGTTATCAGTCTTTGGGAGACCAAGAGGGTGCATAGCCGATTGACTTTTGGATACCACAATTTCGATTACAATAAATCATTAAGTAGTTTTCAATTCCTAGGTTAATAAATCATTATTAACATTTATTTTCCTTTAATGAATATTTGTAACTCGATGGCAAAATTTTTTTATAAGTCTGAACCATTTTTATAAGAAATAACAAGTTGAGTTTTATTTTTAGAAATATTAGAGTTTATCTCTTTTATTTTAGTGAGAGTGATTCTCCTAAGTTCTTGAGTGATTCAAGAACCCTTGGCTGTATCAAAGGATTTTCACATTCTTTGTGTGTTGCCTCCCTTGGAGAAAAGTGATTATTTCCTTCCACCTTTTTTCTAATTCCTAAATTTCTTACAAAGTTATAACCCTAAAGATCCTAAATCACCCCTTGTGATTCATATCAGTTGGTATTCAAAGCCCCAGTTTAAAGGTTTGAACAACAAATTGATGGCAGAGGAGGATAAAAAGAGAATGAGAGAAAAAAAATTTCAAGAAAAGAGAGAAAAAAAGAAGAGTGAAACATTTGAAGTGAAATAGAGCTATTTAGCCATAAAAAGTGAATATAATGTTAGTTCTACATTCAATTTGTCGGACTTATCTCTTTTTTATGTAGATGACGAATCCGATTTGAGGACAAATCCTTTTCAAGAGGGAGATAATGATTTGAAGCAAATGAAGTTCTTCAACAAGTATTGTTGGTTGACCAAATTGTGTTTTGGATTAATCAATTAATGGACTTTAGTTTGATTTTGTTTTAAGTTTTAATAAGGGCCTAATTGGAAATTTAGTCATCGAGTCTTTGGGAGACCAAGAGGGTGCATAGTTGATTGACTTTTAGATGCCACAATTTCAATTACAATTAATCATTAAGTAGTTTTAAATTTCTAGGTTAATAAATCATTATTAACATTTATTTTCCTTTAATGAATATTTGTAACTCGATGACAAAACTTCTTTATAAGCTTGAACCATTTTTATCATAAATAACAAGTTGAGTTTTATTTTTAGAAATATTAGAGTTTATCTCTTTTATCTTAGTGAGAGTGATTCTCTTAAGTTCTTGAGTGATTTAAGAATATTTGGTTTATCAAAGGACTTTCACATCCTTTGTGAGTTGCCTTTCTTGAAAATAGTGATTCTTTCCTTCCACCTTCTTTCTAATTCCTAAATTTCTTACAAGGTTCTAAACTTAAAGATCCTAAATCACCCCTTGTGATTCATATCATCCAAGCTCCCTGTGCTAGCACAATATCTCAGTTTAGATGCATCACAAGTGCATGTTACAAGCGAATGCCACCAGAATGTGCACTTAAAGGTAGTCTTTATTACATTGCCTTTATTGACGACTTCACCAGAATGTGCTGGATTTTTTTCCTAAAGTTTAAATCAGAAGTAGCTCAAGTTTTTTGGAAGTTCAAGGCAAGAGTTGAGAATGAAAGTGACTGCAAAATTCAGATCTTGAGGTCTGACAACGGAAAGGAGTACACTTCAACAAAATTCAACAAGTTTTGTGAAGAAGCAGGCATTGAACATCAACTAACAGCCCCGTACACTCCTCAGCAAAATGGAGTCAGTGAGAGGAGAAATAGGTTCATCATGGAGATGTCAAGATGTATGTTGCATGAGAAGAATTTGCCAAAAAGGTTCTGGGCAGAGGCAACAAGTACAGTTGTATTTCTTCAAAACAGGCTACCCACAAAGGCAGTAAAGGAAAAAACACCATTTGAGGCATGGTATGGCTATAAACCTTCACTCAAGTTTCTTAGAGTGTTCGGTTGCCTGTGTTTTTCACATATTCCTCAAGTCAAGCGTGATAAACTTGACAAGATGGCTGAACCAGGCATCTTCGTGGGCT